CCACTGGGAGCTGCCAAAGTGCTCAGGCAATGGCCGCTGGGGAACCCCCATGGATGCTGCACAGGGAACACGACAGAGGCCCCATGGGGACCCAGGCCAGGGGCAGGGGACAGAGGCTGAAGAGGGGCACAGAGGCCTGGGGTTGTGGAGAAGAGGTCCAGGGTGGGGGTCGGGGCTGGGGACGGGGGAAACAGAGGCCCAGGAGAGGGGTTTGGAGCAGAGGGGAGAGCCCAGGGTTGGGGAGAGGCGGGAGCAGGGGACAGAGGCTGGGTGCAGAGGTCGGCAGCTCCTTGGGTTGCCCTAGGCTCAGGAGGACTGGCTTTTGGTGGCCCTTGGTGGTTCGAGGCCAGGGCAGGGCCGGTGGAGGGGGCGGGGCGCTAGCTGTGGCCTGCGGTGTGTGGTCTGATTGCAGAGACCCCCGGGCCCTTTTGCCAGAAGCAGACTCTGGTTGATGGTGCAATTCTAGGGCCACCACGGGTGAACATGAAGGGCAGTGCTCCCGGACTCCCTGCGGGTTAAGCAGGGTCTCCCTGACAGGCACAACCAGGCCCTGCTCACTCATCCCTGGCTGGTTCAGGGTGCCCGCAGCCACCCGCCTCCACAGTTCTCTTTATGGGAGCAAACAAGTTGCAATGACACGGTTTTTGGTTCCTGTTCCTCGCTGCTGAAAGCACTGGGACCGGATCCAGACCTCGGGCTGACCGGCTGGGGTGCAGAGAGGCTTCCCCTCCCACGCGGAGTGCTGGTGGCCCCTGCTGGCCCCGGAGCTCCAGGAAGGGCTGAGGGCCCGGGAGGGAGGACGCCACCTCGCCTTTGGTAGGATGACATCCAGCCGAGGTTTCGCCCCCTTCACCTTCATCTTGGTTCTCAGACGCTGGGTTTCTTCACATGGAGGTGGAGTTTGTGTTTCCTGGAGCAGTGGTCTGGAGCCAAGGCTCCGGGAGTTAGAAGCTGTGAGAGCTTTTCGGGAGGGGCGTGGCGGGGTGGCAGGGCTCCCTTTCCCTGGGTTCCTGGGCTCCCTAGCCTGAGGCAGTGGGCAGGAGCCTGAGGCACTGCAGGGTCAAGGCAGGGCAGTGGCTGTGCAACTCAGGGCTGCAGGGGAGGCTGGCCTGGCCTTCAGAGCCCAGAGGGGAGAGAAGGGGAAGGGGGAGCTGGCTTTTGCCCAGGGTGTGGTGTGACTTGCAGTGCATTTCAGAGCCTGCTGGGGACACCACTGAACCACCGGATCCTGGGCTCAGAGGATCGCCAGGGGCAGAGGCAGGGCTGAGGGAGGGTTGGCCTCCGAGGCGAGCTTCTCCAGCTGCCTCCTCACCTGCTCCTCCCCTGCACAGACGCCACTATTAAGTCCAATGAATTAAAAGACAAAAAGCTGAGCGTGTTAGGAATGAACTCCACTCCTAGATGCCCGTTTCCAAGGCAACGCTGGCTCCATCCCTCAAAGAGTGGGTGCTGGAGCAGTGCCTGCAAGCCCCAGTCCCTAAGGAGGAGGAAAGGGATGGATCTGGTGGGTTCTGGGGAGGATCCCCAGGGTCCTAGGCAGAGTCCTGCTCTCACGGTCTCTCCTGCACTCCCTCAGCTCTGCCGCACCCGGGTTTCCCCTACCGACGTATCTGAGTCCACCTGTCCCCGAATGACTGGCAGAGGTTGGGGGCCCGGTCCCAGGGTGTCAGATGTCCCTTGTATCCGTGTGTGTCCTTATGTGGGAGTGGCCAGAGCTCCCGGGAGAGGGAGGCGTGGTTACGGTTTGTCCCATGAGTTGAGTCAGGCACTGCACCCTGGTCTTGGTCAGTTTTGATGGCGAGGAGACCTGGGTGTGGGCAGACCCAAGGGGTGCGGGAGAGACAGAGTGGGAACAAGCCTCTGCCCGGCTTCTCGTGATGAGCACGGGCAAAGGGTCCTGAATTCTTCTGGGGCAGGAAGAGACTGCTGTGGCACAGACTTCTGGACTGTGGCTAAGGAAGGAGACCACTACTACTCCTGCTGCCCTCCTCCCCCCACCTTGCCTAGTTCACAAGACAGGAGGAAACAGAGAAAGCAAAAAGAAAGAAACAAAAGTAAAATAAATAGCCAGACAACCTTGGCACCACCAGCCGGCTTAGGAATTGAAAAAAGTAATAATAATAACCTCAACCCCTGACCAAAACTACTTGTGTTATCTTTAAATCCCAGACACTGTATGAAAAAAGCGTTGTAAAACTTTTTGTTCTGTTGGCTGATGCATGTAGCCCCCAGTCACGTTTCCCACGCTTGCTCGATTTATCACGACTCTTTCACGTGGACCCCTTAAAGTTGTAAGCCTTTAAAAAGGCCAAGAATTTCTTTTTCAGGGAGCTCAGCTCTTAAGACGCGAGTCTGCCGATGCTCCCGGCCGAATAAAAAACCTCTTCCTTCTTTAATCCAGTGTCTGAGTAGTTTTGTCTGCGGCTCGCCCTGCTACATGGTCACCAGGGTCCTGGCAAGGCCCCCTTCCTGGGACTGTGGCCCCGTCGAGCCAGGGAGCCTGGCTTTCTCCTCCCCAGGACCATGGCTTCCAGAGCACAACCAGTCTCGGGGCAGGTGTCCAGGGAGGGGCTGATGTGGGCTCAGGAAAGGTCCCTGACACACCCACGTTCAAATCCTCAAGCTTGTGAATGTGTCTTCTATGGCAAAAGGGACTTTGCAGCCGTGAGGAAGCGGAGGATCTGAGATGGGAGATGGCTCCAGATTCTCCAGGCGAGTCCTAACTCTGGTCACAGGATCCCTGTAGGAAGGAGGCCAAGGGAGAGCTTACTTGACAAGGGAGCAGTGTTTGGAGAGGCTTCAAAGGTGGAGAAAGGGCCATGAGCCAAGGAGAGCAGGCGGCCTCTTGAAGCTGCGAGGGTGGGGGGTGGGTTCTCTCCAGAGAAAACACAGCCCAGCCAGAGCCCTGACTTGAACTTCTGACCTCCAGAGCCGCAGCATGAACTTGTGTTAAGTCACTAGGTTTGTGTGATTTGTTACGGCAGCCTTGGGAAACTGGTACAGAGGGACATGGGTTCTTGGGTCAGGGCCCTGCCCCCTCCCTGCCCAGCGCCCCCAGCTCCCAGTCTCCCTGCTGCCCAGGCTGGATGAGAAAGGGAGGTCCCTCTATGTTCACTCTCGGGACTGACAGCATGCATTGGGCTCTGAGATGGGGCTCAGGATGTCTTGGCTTTGGCCATCTGCCTGATGCAGCACATGCGCTAGCTCTGAGATGGGGCCTGTGATGTCTTGCCTTTGGCCATCTGCCCGCGGACACTGCTGACCCGCCTGGCCTGTGACTCCGACTTGGCCTAAATCTGCTGGCTTGGCTGGCATCCAGCTCCTCCCCAGCTCAGGCGTCCTGGGAGCCCGGGACACCTCTCCTTGGGAAGTTGGGCAGGAGGTTGGCAGGGAGCCCAGGGACTGCACCTTGATCTCTGCACCGCCGCAGCGTGACCTTGAGCCTTCTGAGCCTCATGTCGTTCCTACCTCAGCGTGGCTGTGGGACAGGGGCCCACCCCCAGACAGCAAGCACAGTACCCTGCCTCGCCTGAGCCGAGTGGGCGCTGCAGAAAGCCCTCTGTGGGCTGCTGAGTGGTGGGGTGTGGGGCCTAAGCCTGTGGTGCTGGGCGGTGGTAAAGTAAAGCGGTGTGGGGCGGTGGGGTGGTACCGGGGGTGTGGTGTGTGGGGGCGTTGGGGGTGGTGTTGTGGGGTGGTGTTGGGGTGGTGTTGGACGGGTGCAGGGGTGGTGTTGGTAGGGTTGGGGTGGTGTTGTGGTGCAGGTTGGGTGGTGTTGGGGGTGGTGTTGGGGTGTGTTGGGGTAAAGGGGGTGGTTAGGGGTGTGTTATGGTGGTAAGCTGGGGTGGTGTTGGGGTGAGTTGGGGGTGGTGTTTGGGGGTGGATGTTGGGGTGGTGTCAGTGGTGTTGTGTGTGCTGGGGGTGAAGCTTGGGGTGATGTTGTGTGTGCTGGGGTGGGTGCTGGGGTGGTGTTGTGGTGGTGTTGGGGTGGTAGTTTGGGTGATGTTGGGGGGGTGGTGGTGGTAAGCCATGCAGGTTTGGGTGGGTGTTGGTGTGTGCTGGGGGTGGTGCTGGGGTGGTGCTGGGGTGCAGGTGTTGTGGTGGTGTTTGGTGGTGCTAGGGGTGGTGCTGGGGTGTGCTGGGGTGGTGTGGGGGTGGTGTTGGGGGTGGTGTTGGGCTGGGTAAGGTTGTGTAGGTGGTGGTGGTGGGGTGGTGTGCTTGGGTGGTGTTGGGGTTGTGTTGTGGGGTGGTGCTGGGGTGGTGTTGGGGGTGTGTGTTGGGGTGGTGGTTTGGGTGGCATTGGGGTGGTGTTGGGGGTGGTGCTGGGGGTGGTGTGGGGTGGTGTAGGGTGGTGCTAGCATGGTGCTGGGGTGGTGCTGGGCGTGGTGTGCTGTTTGGGTGGTGCTGGGGTGGTGTTGGGGGTGGTGGTTGGGGGTGGTGTTTGGGTGGTGTTGGGGTGGTGTTGGGGGTGGTGTTGGGGGTGGTGTAGGGGGTGGTGTGGGGGTGGTGTTGGGGTGCATGAATGTGGTGGTGGTGGAGTGGTGTTGCAGGTGGTGCTGGGGTGGTGTTAGGTCTTTGGATCATGAGGGTCTGGGGCCTTAGGTGGGGCTTGCTCAGGTGGGCTTAAATTTCAAGTGTTCACACACAGATGGCAAGTGAAGAGTGGGGCTGCGAGAAGTGTCCAGATGACCACAACTCCATTTACTGAGCAGCACTCTGTTTCTGCCAGGCGGCTAAGCCCTGACACTGGCATTCCAGCACTCTGGAGAATCCTCACTGTAGCCGCCACATGAGGCTCTCCTAGGACTCCTGCTGAACAGAGCCATGGGAGGTGAAGGGGTTGGGCCAGGGTCGTGGAGCTGGGGAGGCTGGGCCTTGATTTGAAGCGCATGAGGCAGCCTGACTCCTGCACTGTGCTCCAGTGGGCTGTAGGCATGAGTGTTCGTGTGCACACGTGTGCATGTGTGAGTGTGAAAACGCAAGTAACAGACAGCCCAAGTAACTAGCTTCAACACAGCAGACATTTATTTCCCTCCCAGACAAGGGCACCCTGAGGTAGGCAGTGCCTTCTGTCAGCAGCAAGCCAGGCCCCTCTCATCACACTGCCCTGCTGTGCTCAGTGCTGCCTCATGGTGCAAAGTGGTTTTGTGCAAAGTGGTTGCTGAGCTCCAGTCATCACTTCAGCCAGCAGGAAGGAGGAAGGGGAAGGAGAAAGACGTGACCTCACCATCTAGGGCATTTACCTTCTGACCCCCAGCTAGGCATTGTGGGTTTTCTTACTAAGGAAAAGGAGAGAACAGTTAGCGGAGGCCTCCCACTGCCCGCCGGGATGAACTCGGCAGGCAGGACAGGACTCTGGGCTTCCCAGTTCATGGAGTGTTGAACTGGTGGGGATTAGGGGTTCTTTAAGTCTCACTCTGTTCTTCTCAGAAGGGGAAACTGATACCCAAGTCAGTGGCTGAGCTGTGGCCCAGGCTGGGCCTCTGCCTGCTGTCCCAGAGCTCTGTCCTGGCACCAGCTGCTGGTGAAGGCAGGGCTTAGAGCAGTCACCAGCCCTGCCAGAGGACCCTGGGGACCCCCCCCAATAATGAGCCGCCCACCTTCCCGGCTCTGTTACCCAGTCCTGCTGCTTCTGCAGGAAGCTGAAGGCCCATTTGCCCCCTCCCTAGCACAGGGTAGCCTGTCTGACACCCCCAGACTCCTCCATGACACCCACCAGGCTGAGGGCCTGGGGGCCGGAGTCTAGAGGGCAGGCAAGGATGAGGCTGGAAAAATTTCATCTCATCTACTCCTCTCCTTTCATCAACTTCACTCCTCCATTGCTCTAGCCTGCTCCAGCCTCTGCTAGAGCAGAGACAGGTATTCCCAGCCTCAGGTGCTGTCCTAAGCCCAGTAGGTACTGACCCTTGATGGTCACTTCAAGGTGACAGGCACCCACCCAGCATCCGGCCCTTCCCCATCCAAGGCTGCAAGGCAGTGCTCACGCCATAGCCAGACAGGCTCCGCTGGCCCCATCCTCTCCATACTTGGTGCCTGTCCCCCAGCCCCGCACTGCCCCTCTGCATGTGGCCTCACCCCGACCCGCCTCCCTGTGCCTCTCATCCTCAGCCCGCCTCCCCCACTATCCCGCCTCCCCCAGGCCCGTCTTTCCTAGGGGTGACTATAGCCTCCCTCCAAGGCCTCTTCCCTCCAGACAGCCGGGAGGCCGACCTGGGGAAAGGCAGGGCGGGCCGATGTGGCCGCTGCAGATGGAGGAATTCCTGTGGCAGAAGTTAAGGGTGAGGATTGGGTGTGGGGGCCCCCAGGCATGGGGTGGGTGTCATCTCTGCCTGGCTGTGCTGGTGGGGATCCCCAACCCCCATGAGGATTGCAGGCCCTGGGGCGTGGTGGCCAAGGTCTGGACCCAGCGCCCACGTCCTGCCACTCACAGGCGGTGGGGAGAGGAAACCAAGGGCAAAGCCGGGAACTGAGGAAGCAACCGGGCCGGCGGGGCTGTGCTGGCTGGATCGCCCAAGACGCTCCAAATTCATTCTCCAAAGCTGGTGCAGGGGCAGGAGGGGAAGGTACCAAACAGAGTGCTGGCAGGGCGGGGGGTGAGTTGGGTGGGGGTGAGGGCCGCGGGTCAGGGTCTCCCGGCCCCCATTGCTCCAAGGCCAGCGAGGAGGTTGAGCAGGAGGGCTGTGCCTGCAGTTTCGCAGCTGCCGCGGGGGCCGCCTGCCCCCTTGCCTGGTGGGTCCTGGACTCGGGAGCTCTGCCAGGGTGGGACATTGCACAGGTTGAACTGGCAGCAGGTTGTGGTCACCTGGGTCCCCTCGACCGTCTTGGTGATGGGTTGGCAGTTGTCTGTACACCACGCGGAGTGGGTGGTCAGGAGGCCTGACTCTGGGGAGGGGAGTGGGAACAGATGCTGAGGATGGGCGGGGCCTCCGAGGTGGTTCTACAGGGCTCTGTTCAGGGCCCCTGGCTTTCCCGCCGCCTGGGGGTGTGTGTGCTGTGTGTGCTGCGGCCCCATGCCCACTTACCGGTGTTCCCGTGGGCAATGAGGGTTGTGCAAGCCTGGCCATGTGAGCAGCTCCGCGTCAGGTTGCAGTGCTCGTCCCTGGACAGGGACTGGCAGGTATAGCACCACAGCAGCACTGTGGACAAGGTGGGCTCAGGCCCAGGCCAGGTCCATGTCCCTATCCACCTCCCCATTCTCAGCTGTGCTCCCAAAGCCTAGCCTGGTGGGCCTCCAGCACCCACTGCTCAGACGGGCGGGCCACCCCTGACTCGGCCCTGTAAGCCGTGCTGTGTGCGTGGGCCTGTGTGTTTAGGGGCAAGGGATTGCGGCCCAGGCAGGGCGAACTTCCCATCGTCGCTCGCCTCCTGCGACAGTGCTGCCCAGGCTCCTGCTGTGGGCACGGAAACCTGGAGGCGAGTCTGACTCAATCCTGCCTCTGGGAGCACTGGGCCTCACAGAGGAGGGCCTCACAGGGGACACGTTGTGGGTGTGTGGGGCAGGGCTTGTGCTGAGGGCAGGCCTGGGGGCCCTGGGAGTAGGGGTGGGCTGTGTGTGGTGGGCACGCTGGAGGCCCTGGCTAGGGAGCGGCCGGCTCGCAGGTTGGATGCGGCGATTAGCTCTGCTTTGTTCTGGGGATGGGAGAGAGCAGAGGGTGGCCCAGCGTGTAGGGGTGTGTCGGACAGGGAGGGTAGCCTCTTATTAGCCCCACTCTGCTCTGCTCTAAGCGCTTCCCTGGCTCCCCTGCCTGCAGCAGCCAATCCATCTCCCCGGCACAGGACCGGCCCACCCTGCTGCTCTCTCTGCCCCACAAAACTGAACCCTACCCTGGGGCCTCTGTGCTTGCTGTCTCCACCCTGGGCCCCCACTGAGCCCTTCTCTGCCTGGTGAACTCCGTTTAACCTCTACATCCTGGCACCACTGACCCTCCCAGCTAGTGGCTTCTTCCCCTGTTCCCTACTCTGGAACTGGGTGTCATGGTGAGTGGAAGTGAGGGGTGCACTGAGTGTCCCCCACTCTGCTGGAGGCAAGCCCACAGCGGGACTGTGGCCTGTTGGCTTCCATCACACAGCCCCGCCCAGACTGCTCCAGGCAGAGCAGGCAGCGGGGCCCTGGGGTTGGGGTGGCCGTACCTCTGCCCCTGCCACCAGGGAGCCTGTTGGTCTCCTCCTCTTCCACCTCGTCCTCATCTTCCTCGTCGTAGTTATCTGGCCTGTGGTCCTCGTCCTCGTCCTCGTCCTCGTCCTCCTGCTGTGCCTGCCCTCTTCCTGGCCGTGCAGGGATGCTTGTAAGCCTCAGCTACCCGGTATGGAGGACACCTGCTCTGGGCAAGCATTGCGCCCCCAACTCCTTGGCCCTCCCCCGCCACCCTCAGGCCCCAGGGCAGCCTACCTGGTGTGGCCTCTGGCCCCTGCACACCCTGCTCACTGTCCTGCAGCCAAGTGTGCCCTGGCACACTAGTTACAACAGCAGCTGCTGTGGGCTGGCCCTTTGTGGTAGCCCCTCCCCGCACCCCGCATAAACAGGAGCACAGATGTTTGGGGACTCTTGGGGTCCCAGACCAGCTTCCATCCACACCGCTCTGGGCTGGGGACTCCGGCCTCATCCCCTCCTTCCTAAGCCCCTTCTGGGGCTCCCTGGAGGTCCCTGTGCTCCAGGACTGCACTCACTGCCCCCTCACCACAGGGTTACCCTTTGCCCCGCACCTGGCTGTCCGCACAGCAAAAGGGCAAGTAGGAGAGTCCTGAGCACCTTCATCTCGCCGACGCTGCTGTGTCCCCGACTCCTCGCGCAGCACTCTGGAGCTGCGATAAGTGGGATGAAGGGCATTGCCGTGGGCTTCCCAGTGGCCCCCACCAGCTCCAGCCTCAAACAATGGGCCTCACACGGGTCCCGGCTCCAGGCGCCAGGCCAGGGACTGTTGTTTCCCTCCAGGACCTCTGGGGCTGGAGGGGAAGGAGAAGTCATTGTGGTTGGCCTTGGAGCGTCCCGTGCACCTGTGCCGGCGGTTGGAAGGCGGTGCTGGCCACAGGAGCTGCTGGCCCTGGCCTGCCTTGCTGCTCAGTGCCTCAGCCCTGTAGTGCAGGGCAGGGAGCCTCGCCCCGGATTGGGCCATGCCTGATACCCCCTAACCCCATGTCTGGGCTCCATAGTCACAGAAGCTTGGGGTCACAGACCCTCTATTTGCTGGTCACTGGCCAAGCATCTTCATTCCAGAGTCAGCATCACACCCAGGCCCCTTTAAGAGCATTTAAATAAAAACACAGTCAGTGCCCTCAAGCTAAGGCTGTGTGCTCACCTCCTCCTCACCCACACTCAGCAGTGCACTTGCTGGGCCCAAGGCCTCCCTCACTATCACCTCGGGTCTTTGCCCCTGCTGTTCCGTCTGCAGTGCTGTTCCTGCTGGTGTCCAGTGGAGAGCTTTCCGGAGCTGTTGGGGGCCCAACCCTTGGCCTTCTGCTGGGAAAGCCATCAGCCCCCACCTGCCTTCTGGCCTTGTGTGAGAGAGAGGCTGCTCTGGGAGAGGCTTGGAAAGCCCAGGTCGCTCCCTGAGGTCACCCTCTCCTCCCAAGCCCCTGCCCAAGCCCCTGGGGGTGGGATGCAGAGGGCAGAGTCTCCCGAGGGTAGCAGAGGGGTGAGGCAGCGGCAGGGGCTGGATGGGAGTATGGAGCCAGGGTCAAGCCTGGGCGTCTGTGTGCCTTGGTGCTTGGGTCAGGCCCTTCACCTACTGAGGCCTCAGTTTCCCCAACTGTCAATGGGTGGGGTGGGGCATTTTCTGTAACAGAGGTTGAGTTGGTTCTGGAGTGAGCTGCCTGGGTTTAAGACCCGGTTCCTCCTTCCCCTGGCTCTGGGTCCTGGACGAGCCCCTTGGGTTCCCCAGGCCTCAGCTCCCTCATAGGGTGAGGTGACCATCAAGGGTCAGTACCTGCTGGGCTTAGGACAGCGCCTGAGGCTGGGAATACCTGTCTCTGATGTCTCAGCCACTGAGTCAACCATCCCTCCTTAATTCACCTGAACCTGTCATTCTTCCATTCTTCTCTATCAGCACCCACCCAGCATCCAGCCCTTCCCCATCCAAGGCTGCAAAGTCGCTTTCCAAGCCAGGGTCTCCCATAGCGGTGCTCATGCCACAGCCGGACACGCCCCGCCAGCCCCAAACTCTTCATACCTGGTGCTTGTCCCCCCAGCCCTGCCCCTCCCTGCCCCTCCCGGTGTGGCCCTACCCCCACCCGCCTTCGTGCACCCTCGCCCTGCCTCCCCCATGCCCTACCTCCCCCACGCCCTGCCTTCCCATCGCCCTGCCTCTCCCACACCTCACCTCCCATTGCCCCGCTTCCCCGGTGCCCCGCCTCCTCCACACCCTGTTTACCACACACCCCGCCTCCCACACTGCCCCACCTGCCCCACTGCCCCACCTCCCTGTCGCCCCACCTCCTCCACACCCCACCTCCCCATCGCCCCGCCTCCCATTCGCCCCCCTCCCCAGCGTCCCACCTCCCTGTTGACCCGCCTCTCCTGTGCCCCGCCTCCTCCTTGCACTGCCTCCCATCACCCCTTCACCCCTCCTCCCCCAAGCCCCGCCTACCCATTGACCCGCTTCCCTGGTGCCCTGCATCCCTGGTGCCCTGCTTCCCTGGTGCCCAGCTTCCCTGGCGCCCTACCTCCCCCACACCCCGCCCTGGCTGCCACTACAGGCTCTTGAATCTAGTGCTGCAGGAGCTGCTCCTAGGAAGGGCACTACTGGGGTTCTCTAGGGGGTCCCCACCTGCCGCCTCCCCTCCGCAGGGGCCCAGGCCCTTGCACGTTGCCTACCTCTGGGCCCAGCACCTCTTTAGCCCTGGTGCAAACTGCCCAGCCCAGGCCAGTGCTTATTGCAAGAATCACCTGGGGACAATCAGAGTGCATTTGATTCGCAGATTGAGTTAAATTTAGTGCTGGCAGCTGAGAGGCTGTTCCCTCTGTCCCGCCCGGGAAAGGCTAGTGGGTCTGGTCCAGCTCCTACAGAAGGTGCCCCTGCCCTGGGATGGCACACAGGTGTGAAGGGGGACCCGCAGTGGCAGACACCTGGTTCCCCAGCACTGCCCACAGTCACAGGTGGGCGTGGCGGGCTCTGTATGTGAAACCCACCCCCTCATCCCACCCAGGCACTGCACAGCCTCCCTCAAGCCCCCAGGGCAGCGTCATGACCTCTCAGACGCTCCAGGGTGAAAATATGACCCCTAAGACTTTCAGGGCAGTGCTGTGGTCCCCCAGTGCCAGGGCTAAGGGCTGCTGGTCCTGATGGCAGCTGCCATGGGTCATTTTAGAGCCTGCACCTGTGCCCCTGGGCTCGACCGCCTTTCCAGGCCCTGAGCCATGCCCACACCCCAAGGTACCCTTGAAGGGCAGCCCAGTCACCCCAGCTCCCTGCCCATAGACCTCTGTGCCTTGGAGCCTGGACCTGCCTGCTCTGCTGGCTCTTGGGGCTGGCCCTTCTGACACAGCGGCTCTCTGGGCCTCCTCCCAGGGTGGGGCCTCCTCCCAGGGTGGGGCCTGCATGAGTCACATGGCTGTTTTTGGCGCAGCAGCCTTGGGCTCAGAGCTTGGTGCTGGTTGTGTCACCCAGCCATCCACACTCCCTCCTGCCTGGGTGACATGTGGGGCTCGGTGGGCAGGGTCTGTGCTGGCATCATGCCCAGGTGGGGCCGTGGGCTCTGCTGTCCTGGGGGGGCTGTGTGGCCCTGTCCTGGGCCTGCGCTCCTACTCTGTACCCCCTCCCCCGTGTTGACACCAGCTGGAGTCAGATCCAGACCTGTGCACTGCCGTCTCCAGGAGGCAGCCTTCCGTGAGATTGGGTTTGGAATGAGGGAGGCATTGGGAGGAGGGCACCTTGGGGCTGGGCCTGAGGGGTGAGCAGAGTTTTTCTATAAGGAAGGGTGGGCAAATGTTTCTGACTGAGGGGCAAGTGTACGGTGTCCATACCGGGAGAGTAGGGCCCTTTGGGGCAGATGCGGGCTGCAGGTGTGCTGGCCCTTGCCACACTTTCCCTGCTCTGAGCTCCTTCCCACCCTCTCTGCAGCCAGCCTACTCCTGTCTCACTGAACCCGAGTCTGGCAGAGGGAGGGGCTTGTTTTGAGAGCAGAGTCCAGACTCTCCTCCCCTGGGGTTACCCTCTGCTTATTTTTATTTATTTATTTCTTTTGTTGAGACAGAGTCTTACTCTGTCACCCAGGCTGAAGTGCAATGGCTCGATCTTGGCTCACTGTAACTTCCACCTCCCAGGTTCCAGCGATTCTCCTGCTTCAGCCTTCCGAGTAGCTGGGATTACAGGCTCGCGTCACCATGCCCAGCTAATGTTTGTATTTTTAGTGGAGACAGGGGTTCACCATGTTGGCCAGGCTGGTCTCAAACTCCTGACCTCAGGTGCTCCACCCACCTGAGCCTCCCAAAGTGCTGGGATTATAGGCATGAGTCACTGTGCCCGACACACTCTGTTTCTGATGACCCCTCAGTGCCATGCAGAGCAGGCTGCCCATTATGTGCACTGAGGTACAAGCCCTTTTTCTTTCCCGGAATCCAGCATTCAGAGGTAGCTGTGGGCGGGTGGGCCGGCCAGGGGGAGTAGCTCCCAGGCACCCCTAGAACCCAAGAGGCAAACACAGCCTGGTCCAGAAGCTTGTTCATTAACTTGTTCACATGTGGTTCACTCAGGTACCCTCCCTGGCCTCCCAGCTCCCCTCCACGCTGCTCTGCACCTGCAAACCTCAGTGCTCCATTTCCTAGTCGTTAGACACCCTCAGCCCCACCCCCATCACCCTGGAGAGTCTCCCTTCCCTTGCTCTTCCAAGGGGGTCCCTCTTGTCCCCCACTTGTGAGGGCGACTGATCGCTGTCTAGCTCCTCTTGGCAGAGCTTCAGACGGTCCTTCAAGCTCCTCCTCCTGCCCATCTTCAATTTCCAGAGGCAGGGCCCAGGCACCGTCCTCTCCAGAGACCTTTCCCCACGACGGCACTCCTGTACCCACCTCTAGCTCGGTGCCCTCAGAGGGATTCAAGGCTTGGCTTTAACATCCCCCCATGGCCGTACTGGGTCCCCGACTTGGAAAAATGCAAGAGCAAGGAATACATTGTTCCTATCATTTATTTTATCCATTTAGAAATCAATTTCCTTCACACTGAGATTGTTAAAAATGTTAAAAACAATATAGCAATTTCACAATATTAAAAGAGACTAAAAATAACGACGCAGGGATACTTTGCAGCTGTATGACAGTGAAGAAGCTCTTTACATCCTGATCAGAAAACAGGAAGCGGAGGAAGCGGAGGACTGAGTGTCCCGGCACGCTGCTTTCTGCAGGAACAGGAGAAGGCAGGATCTGCGCCCGCTGCTGTGTGTTCATGTGGAGACTGCCCGCTGGGCTCACCTTCTGTCAGGGTCCCCGTTTGGCCACTGATGTGCAGGGCCCTGTCTTCTGCTCAAGCTGACCCCCGCCAGCCCTACCACCCAGCAGAGGCCTGCGAATGAGAGGCCTGGGGCCCTGCAGTCCCTGGAAGGCAGGAAGCTGATGGCTGAGCTCAGGGTGGGATCTGTGTGTGGGCGGGTGAGCGGCAGGCACTCACCCACAGTGGCAGGGAGAGGGTGTGTGGAGGGAGAGCAGCTACCAGAGAAGCCAGACAGGTGCAGCCCAGGGCAGGCAAGAGCCCCTCCCAGGCTATAGCGTGGACCCCCAGCCTTGGGGGTGGCACAGGGCCTCCTGGCAGCCTCTGCACGTCAGGACCACGCCACTGGGATGTCCCGCTCGGACTCCTGGCAGGCAGAACTTACAGTGTCTTCCACAGTGGCCCCACTGGAGGGGCAGGGGAGAGGAGAGGAGGTTTGGTGGGGGAAGTAGGGAGAAGGGGAGAGAGGAGGCCACGGGAGGTGGTCTTGGGTGGGGCCTCCCTCTGCCCGCAGGTGGTGATGGGCAGCTGACCACCTGCACCAAGTGTTGAGGTGGCTCTGGTTACTATGAGGACGCGGGGCCTCCTGGGCTACCGCGATGGCTTCTCATGGTCGATCCTTTGGATCCAACTGAATCTGGGGTGTGAGGTGGGTGAGGAGAGGCCCCAAGCTCGAGGGCCAGGATGCAGAGAGCCTCAGGGTGGGATGCCTATTTGTGCGGGGTTGCCTGGCAAGCCACCTGCTGGAAATGGCACCGAACCTCAGAGCCTCAGCCTTCCAGGGAGACACGGTGGGTCCCGGACAGCCACACTGCAGAGGCAGCCTGGGGGCCCAGGACAGGAGTGTGCACATCAGCCCCTTGTACCCCCAGCCTGGGAGAGATGCTGCCCCTGTGCCACAGGACACCGCTCCTGACTGCCCACAGCCATCATCTGATGCCTGTTCTATTCTGGCTTACAACGACCCGGAGGGAATGGGGGTTTGGGAGTCAAAGCCCGGGCTGCTCCACTTGAGGCTTGGAAGCTCCTGTGTACTGCTCTGTCCTGTGTGCTTTAGGATGGGCCCCCGGAGAGGGAAGTAAGGAGCAGGGGTGAGGGCCCAGCAGGGGTGGCAGGATCACCTGAGCTCCTCTTTGTGAGTGGGTTTGGGTGGAGGGTGGATGGAGAGCCCTAGCCCCCAGCCTCACCCAGCCCTCCAGGAATGGCAGTGGCCACCAGCAGCCCCCCGTTCCTCCCCACTGTCAGGCTCAGCCTAAGCCCCCTCCCCGACCTGCCCAGCCCCTGCCCCTCTTCTCCAGCCTGACTTATGAAGCTCTGTGTTTAGCCCCAGGACGCAGCCCTCATGTCCCAGCCAGAGTCTGTGGCTGCAGAAGCCCGGGCTGTAAGCCCTTCTTGAGCTCTCACAGCAGTGCAGGGTGGGATCTCACAGGGAGGGGTGCTGGGAGGCAAATCACACAGAGCGGGATGGGGCTTCTGCACCCCTGTGTCCTGGACACACTTCCTGTCAAATCACATAGCAGGATGGGGCTTCCGCACCGCTGTGTCCTGGACACACTTCCTGTCATCTCTGTCCCCATGACAGAGGCTTCACCTTCTCTACTGTATCAGGCAGGGACCCAAACTGTGGGGAACTGCAATGGACTCTGGCTAGTTGGAGTTTGTTGAAAGTTTCCTCAGAGCTCATAGGTTGAGAGGGAGGGCTTAGGTGCAGAAGACCCTGGGGCCACTCCTGTCCTGCCT